GTTGTCCTCTCCCAGTGAGTGCACGTTTGCCGCAAGGTTTTGGTATCAACACAGATGCTGCACTTTGAGGGTAGCGCGGACGCAGTACGGAGCCCATTTTCGTGCACCCCCCACAAATGTGGGTATCACATTTTTGCAGCTGCCGACCCATTCGCCTCGCACATGCAAGGACTGTTCACGGAGGTGACTGTGCGTTTAAGTATAAGTTGTAGTAATTTCTGAACGACAGCAACATGCACATGGACAACCTTGTAAATGAACAAATAAAAAAATTCATATATCTACATAAAGAAGTAGGGTAGATGGTAGTAGACTTACTCATATAAGCTCGCTGTTTCATCAATTTTCTCCGTTTTACTGCTGGTACCGTGATAAACAATTATTATGGCTTTTTCCACTGGATCCCATGCGGTATAGCCGTGGCACGTCACATCTGAATCAATATCCTTCTATCAAACTTCATCTGTTCTTCACTGAGGGATCTCAGCCTATTTGCTCCACTCACTTGGCAACAAGTCAGAACATTTGACCGTTATGGTTTTGTAATAAGAGACGTAAGGCAGTTGAGCTCTGGAATACACTTCAGACTTTAAGACAACACTTCAGTGAACTACAGTATAGTTCTGAAAACAAAACATTCCATGTGAACTCAGTTGACAAAGGCAGATGTCAAGAGGGTGAGATGGCCGCTATCAGAAATCGTCAATGAAACAGTCGATCCTTACTTTTGGTTTTTCTTTTACTATTTAAAAAATCAGTTCTTGAGGCGGAGGTGGTATTATGGCAAGTGGCACACTTAACACGCGGACGGTACGGAATCGAATCCTGGATCGGCTACCACTTAGGCCAAGCAAGCTCTCTACCTCTTGGAAGACGGCAGATTGATATCAGATTCTTCTGGGAGAATAAGAACTTTGACTTCTAGATCGGCTGGCTCCCGCCAGTTGTTGTAGGCCACATCGCATTCAATAAGCCACTACGATTCTGAATGGAAGTAGAATGCGTGCCGCATCCCACAAAGGGATTGATCAACGGCGAAGACTTTATCCTTAATCAGTCTTTATTGGAACAAGTAAGGAGGAAAAATGTAGCAGCAAGCGGTACGCTCACCACCACTTCCCGGATCGGCTCCTACCTAAGCCAACCAGATTTCTACGTGTTAATTAGCATTAAATCTGTCAGGGAGGATCAAAAAAACAGGCTTGTACAACGGCTGGCTCGCAAGTCATTGTGTAGACCGATAAAGTTCTACGAAGACTAAAGTTCACTGAGCCACTACGCTTTTGAGTAGAGAGAGAATACGTACCGCATCCCAAAAAAAGACTGGTCAGGTTAGACTCAACCCCCTTCCCTTTACGTACTGTGTTCCGAAAGCGGATCCATCGACGGCGAATAATTCATCATTCTCCTTTTGGTCTCTGTTTGGTCGAATGCTTGCTACATCTAATATGTGGTACTGTTCCACAGTGCCTTCATATAAAACCCAAAGAAGTTAAGAAAACACGACTCACTTTAGACATGGCACTGGAGTCTCCCCGAATAGAGCTCCGATGAGCGGATAAATGTAGTACCGAGCGAATGTATCGTTGTAAGCGTAGGCTGGATCGGGAAGTCGCGGGCAGTTCAGCGACAGCTATAGAAGGAGTGGAAAGAAATTATTCAAAAAATAAGATACATAAACTGTCTTTGCTAGACTGCTGGGAATTAGAGGGTACACAAGCGGGACTAGTTCGACTGTGGCACACCATGAAAGCTACAGTGCTATGCTTACTAGGTCAAAGGTATAGAAGAGACGCTCCGCTCGTGATGTAAGCAGAACCCGGTATCGTTTCGTGCACGAGCCACCCAGGCTCTCTATCCTTTCTCTTCACTAAGTTGGTGCCGGTATTGCTGTAGAACACACTAATGCGAACTTCTCCTAGTCCAAGTAAGCCATCACAGCGGTAATATGTGCGCGTGTAAGTGACTCTCCAATTTTGAGTGAGAGTAGGATGTGTGGCGCAGTCCACGCTGTTCATGGGTGGAGTCTGACCTCAGTTCGGTAGTCCGTGTATGTACTCTTACATCACCAAGAATCGGTAACCAAGAGCGCTCCTTTTCCTGAACAACCTCTCTGGTCAGTACATAGATACAGGGGGGAAATCCGGCGATTTTGAATCCCTGTAAGGAATGGGACTGTTCATATGGACGTATGGGGCAGAATGGACTATATGCATATTCGACGATTTCACGTCAACGCTGGTGACGTTCAGGATTTTCAAGGTCCCAGAAGAACAATACCGAAAACTAAAACAGGCACATCATGGGCCTGGGATTGAGGTCGAGTCCGTACGACCTCCCCTCTCTTGAAGGTGGTTAGTCACAACCCTTCCCCTCCACTTTTTACTGTGCGGTTCATGTTTTTACAAGGAATCGTCTTGCTGCCGGGGAAATTTTCGGAAAATACGACCCCCATCTCGTGCCCCGAACTGAAATGTCTTCTTCTTCGTTTAGCACTGGTTCTTCTCCGGTCTATGTTGTTACGTGTTCATGTATGAAAACGTTTATTTTGTCATTTTTTTTACTCACCGTGATGTTCGTTTTGCATGGGACTGACTTCTCCTGACAGCTTCCTGTATCAACACACCACCTGTAATTTTGAGTGATTTTCCTCGAATTTATTATCCAATCTGTCCAATCACTCAACGTACATCTGGTTTTGATGGACGCATTGGACGCATTGCTGCAGATCCTGTGCGGAAACGTAACCGGCTATTGTGAAAGAAACGAAGATCTGTATCCACATACTGTTCCTCTATACTTGTTACCTTCAGTTGTTCGTCGCTGTTGTCGCCTTAATGAAGCTAGAAAATAGCGTTATTACATTAATGACACCCGAATGGTGAGATAGCGATTTAACGCACAGTTCGTACTGATCGCATGGGCCGAAATAGGCTTGTGCTTTGCCTTGTTACCCACCACTACTTTGTACCCTCTTACAAGGGAAGGATACCAACTCGCCATGGCCCTTCAGGATAGGATGTATACTCCTAGAAGCATCTTTGGACGCTGATTTCAGATCTGACTTCCAAATCTGCTAAACGATTCAAGAGAGAAGTTACGGACCTTTTTTGCTACAGTGCTTAACCATTACGGTGCGCCCCCGCTCATACTTTGTTAGAGGAGAATCGTGTCAGTGAGGAAGGTAGAATGCTCTATGTCTCTATCAATACGAGCAGTATGGGCTGTGCACCGTCAGCAACTACTATGCTTAACTTGCGCCATGCATTCAAGTTCCGCTCAGATTTAGGGAGAAATCTGAACCTAATAGTGCTAACTCCTGCAGAGGTTTGGATCCTTAGAGAACAATTTGGGTCAACTATTTATTCCGTTCTATAAAAATAGCGCGCTGTTTGAGAGTTTTTGCCCTCCTATGATCCGATCGTGGTTATGGTAATCAAGCTTCCATATTTCTGAGATTGATATTGCTCATAGATTAGTCTGTGAGTAACCTCGTCATCCGGGCAGTTGATTAGGGCGGTCGTCAACGGGCCGCAGCGCGTGCCAGGAACTATTTGCTTTTTCCAGGCTAATTTAGTCATTTTTTCCACCTTGTGAAGATAAGGAGCTGCTAATCTGGGAAAAAGTAGCCAAAACAGTGAAAAGTTGGAAAAAATGACTAAATTAGCCTGGAAAAAGCAAATAGTTCCTGGCACGCGCTGCGGCCCGTTGACGACCGCCCTAATCAACTGCCCGGATGACGAGGGTAACTACATAGATCGTCAGAAGAAAGACATTTGTGAGCGAAGAGGAACACCCCTGTAAACCTTAGTACAGGCGAGATGCGTTCTAATTCTGTTCCTCCACGAAATAGAGTTCCAGTGCGTATAGTTGAATTTGTAGTTCCGTCCTTGAAGGCACGATCGCAACCAGGTATAGAAGTTGAAACTATGGCACCGCGAGGATAGTGTGGTCCGCGACGATCAACTCTGTACAGGTTTCGTGGCGAAAAAGTGTGAGGGAGGGGCACTATAACGCCAAATAGGTTCAGTAACGTGTCCTTTTTTCAGCGCCTCCAAATTCAGCCTTCAAAGCCCACGATTTAGTGAAAAGCGAAGCTGCAGGACGATGAAGCATGAAAATCGTCACTTGTACGGTCGTAGAGTTCTCATCGGGAATCAGCTGTGCGGATGAGGGCTAGTGTTGGAAATGGAGCTACTTGGGCACGCAGAAACTGGGATCGAAATGGGGTCCTATTTAGGACACTTGGCTATCGTCGTCTATATGCAAAGGTCTAATCCACTATCTGTGATGGCGAATGATTGCGGGCTTAAACCGATTTGCCAAAAGCGAGGGCATCATACTGCATACAGAAGATGCAGGTTTACGACATCTATATTTGATGTACAGGCTTCACAGAATACCTTCCCGTCAGGGACATCAGGGACGTACTGACAATGGGAAAAGTTTCGGCAAAGTACGCCTTTCCCTTCTAAAGCCCTTCTTCTGGTGCGACTCCCTTCCCATCCACATCCTGCCAAATTCTTCAATTCTCCCAACTTTCCCACCTTTTTCGTGAGTTTTTCAGAAAAAAAACCCACTTTTCCCCCCAACCCGCTCCGAAAAAAAACAACTGTCGAAGGGGTGGGGAGGGGATGTAGAGCTATAGAAACAGGCGGGATCGGCTCAGCAGCCGAAAGCATTCTTCTCAAAAGCCTATACGTGCCCATCTATCTCTCCAGCGACCATATACGACCTCCCATCTCTCTGTGGCAGCTCAGCGTACGATGTTCCCTGCCGTATAGCAGGATGGCATCGCTACCGTATATACTTGCCATACATGCATACCATAAATACGGATTGAGGATCAGAACCAGAAAAAAATATCTCCCAAGTTACATGAGCCGTCTGTCACTACAGAATCGTCTACTTGAGAACAAAACCACCCGGGGAACCAGAATACAATCTTATACTCTGGTCCTACAAGTCATTAAAGATTGTCATGATTGTGTTAAAAATTGGGCCGCGCACATAGTGCATTGCCTTTCAAATGAAGAATGATAATGAATCTTCGCAAAAGTATGCTCACATCATTTTTAGCAATTCACAGTAATCCAATTCCAACCTGTTGCTTGGCGGCACGAGTACACAAAAACCCGTGGGCATCAGAAAATGTGAACTGCGGTTTACGAACAATAGGGGTGGGAAAAAAGTTCAGAGTAAAAGACTTAGTCTTTCGTGCAAGAAGCACTTTGGACCTTTTGCATCAATGAACCCACCTTGCTATTATAACACCCTGCTGTGACACATAAATTTAAGCTTTACTTTCTGGAATTCTGCAAAAGCGACGGCGGCATGCACAGTAAAAAGCAAGAGTAAAGCAACGAATAGAAAAAGGCTAGTTACGAAGTGATCAGTCCACTATTGTGATAATCAGCGCTAAATGCCCACATTCGTTTTATGCTGGTTATCAGCTGGAGTTGATAACGAACTCGTCGTCTGAGTATGTGCTCCAGAAAAAATGCTCCCTATTTGCCGCATATATTGAAACATTGTTTAATTTTTCCGAAAAAATGACCATGGACTGAGCATTCTGAAGTAGAAACGACAGATCTATCGCTGAACAGCGAGCACCCAGATTCTCGTGGTTTTCCCCACTAGGTAACCTGCCTTTCAGTATAGTTTGTGACCTTATCTCCGTGCCTTCTGGGTGTGGTGTCCGGAGTCTACTTGGTCTAGGTGATCAATGAAAATTCGATGAAAAACATTATCGATGAGCAAAATAACAGTTAGTGGTGCTTGAAATCTTGAAATATGGCTGCATCCACTGCACTACACCTACATTACAAGATGGCCCTACATAGCCGACTTCAAAGAGTGCTGCAAACTGCATTAGTAGTAGGAGAGGTACTTAAAGGCAGTGGGCTGGATGGGTGGGGCCGGGCGCGTACTGCTAACTCCATTGGTGGAATGCTGAGCAGAGTGTGGCCGAACGCCCTCTCGCAGCCTTTCCACCAATGACGTTGGCAGCAGCCGCCCGCCCCCAGAAACTGTGTCGGCTGCATTTCAATATCAGGCCTTATTCACCAGTTACTGCCCCTTTTTTCGCGATGTTAGTTAGATTTTTGGACGGCTAGAATATTGTCGTCTCGAAAGAGTGTCCCGTAAATGCGAATATCATATCCATTCGACAACCTAGAGGTTTGATAACCTAACACGTGCCCTTGCCTCACGAGCCATGGACCTCAACCAAAGTCGTTGAACGTTTGTACATGGAGGGGTACGTGACTATGTACTTCAGTTTTTTGCATGCTCCTTTTTGAAACCTCAGACGCGCAGACGGATTACAGCGGCTGTTAGAACAACGGAATGCACGGAGGATTAGCTGCAGGAAGAGCTGCCACCCTGCCTTTTTGCGCCAAAAGGATGTCTCATTTGTGGGTAGGGACATGTGTGGGTAACTACCTTCAAAGTAGTTTTTCGGCTAGATTCACAGCAAGGCAAATTTCATAATAAGTCAAGTTCAAAAGCTCATGTTTGGTTCCACAAACTTTTTTTGCAGTCCTCGTAGCACCATGGGCTCCTTGAGTGATCCAAAATTTCATCCTCAGGCCACTTTTATGGTGGCAGCATCATTCTTTGCAAGCTGTGAAAGTAGTTCTAGCCTTAGTTTGCCGTGAACTGTGCCTTTTGGGACGCGGACTGCGCCTACAAAGAACACCCAGATCTTGGCGCCGCAAGCAAAGAACGTGGAGGTGCGCCCCATATTGTCTTTATGGAAGAGAAGGTTGAGCCAATCGATGGCACTTTATGTCTTCTTTACAACTACAATTAATATTTATTGATCACCAGATTCGGAAACAATTCAATGGCGAGAAAATCGAGATCTGAAGCGGTTGGTCGTCCTTGATTGGTTGCACCTAGAACAAAATTTTATTGCTTGATGCAGAGCTACTAATGGGCGATGGGTGACATGTAGCTATCCATATGTGCAAAAACAGCTGAACATTGAGGAGCTCAAAGCAACCGCATTCGGGAAAGTGCCTTCTTATGGGCTGTGTGAAGGGTTAAAGGTTGCCCAACTTTTTCACTGCTTTTCTCCTTCTTTTTTTTCTTCC